AAAAAGAAAAATCGGATTTAATCCGCTTTCGCCTGTAGTGTGAACGTAGCCTAAGTCGGACAAGCAGCTGAGAAAGAATGAGGATGTGCGTACATCACAAAAAGTATAAAAGACTGATGCAGCTACTGTAACATAATCCATTGGTTTCTGAAGTCCAATTTTGAAGCATCAAGATTTTCCATTTTCACCTTTGCCAAATACTCATTTGAAGGATTTGACAACAGCGGACCATAATTACAGTGAAACTGTACATTCGTTAGCTACCAATTTACACATTGATTCTCCTAGCATGATTTAGACTGACCAATATTTGTGTTTACTCAAAGCTGAGCAGCATCAGACCAATATTAAAAGCCTGGCCAGGAGCAGAGGCCCAAAGCCAGATGGAATATCTGTTTAACTATTCACACCAATCTCAAAACACTGTATAATTACAGATTACGGCATCAGTCTGAAGAGAGCACTGACAGCCAGAAAAAAAACAGAATATGGGTGAAATTGGTGGCTAGTTATTCAGTCTGCAGCAGAACTGCAATCAATTCAATTGTTAACACTGCAAAACTAGATTGTAAGGGAATTTAACCTGGCTTTTTTGGATAATTCGAGAAGTAAACTTAAAATGTTCAGCCAACCTGCTGTGTGTAGGCCGGGGGATGCCAATGTAGTAGTATCTTATGTTTTTATTCCAAGCTAATTTCTGCAAATTGCAATGAAATAATAAGGAGAGCAAGGGCACAAATGATCCCTGCCTAATATTCTAGCATTACAATATCCATCTGAAGATACTCCACGTTCAATCTCCATCCTGGCTTATATCGTTTGAAAGGATTATACGTTTATTCTATAATATCTAGGCTGTTCTTGCTTTCAAGGCTTTTGTACAGTGCGTTGTGTTTACTTCTATGTTGATTAATCTGACTAGTCATTGTTCCCTGATGCTTATAGATTTTTTTCCTCTCTCAATTGTCACAACTAAAATCTGAAGCCTTTATAATCCACAGTGCTTTCATCTGCTACAATCCACTTACAGCCCTAATTAAAAAGTTGTTTCACCAGACAGACGGGAAAGTGGAGAACTGGACAGGGATCCAAGTCCCCTCACCTCAGGTGGAATGGCTAAAAGTAACTGCTTCCTCTTGTGACCTCCCTTTTTCTTTTCTGGGTGCTTTGAAAAGGCCTGACAAAGCCTTCATGGGGTTTCATATTTATCCTCTGCAAAGGACCATGGATCAAAAGAGATAGGCAATTTCACATATCAGAGAAAACACCGCAAGGGCTGTTTGTTGAGTGAAAACAAAATGCTGGCTTGCACTTCAATGTGTCAAGAGCTTACAGACCCAGGCTTTCTAACATACCCTGCACTTAAGTATTTGGAGATACTGTCTTTCTGTTGACTACTTAAAAATTATTTACCAAAACAGGTGCCTGTACAAAACACATGCACATCTGATGTGAATCAGTCTGAAATAGTTTGATGTTCATCTGTTGCTGCCTGCTTTTTACCGTTAGCGATGTCTTAGCTACTCCTCCATTTCCTCCATTTCTACCAGTGGCTTTGACATCTTGCTCATTTTTTCACAAGATCAGCATCTGCTAGAAAAATGTGGTCATTGATAGAGTATATTCTTAGTGTCACTTTACATGTTACTTCCGTTCCCAATTAGAGTTCATTATTTGGTCATTTCTGTATAAAAGGGGAAGTGAGCATGTTGGTCACCAATGAGATAGATTACAATCATTGTCCTACAACTACAGCAGAGAATATTATGATGTTTAGTGCAACTGCAACCTTGCCTTCAAATAGCTCAGCTAGCTCACAAGAGCTAAGTTGCACACAATAATATGTGCTGAGCACTGATAGGCTGTTACTGAAGATATGTAATCAATAAGATTATCAATAAGACTAGAATGTGAGACATTTCTGTCAAACACAGAGCAGCAGGAAATTTAAAAAAAGAAAGCGAGAGAAGAAAAGCAATCGCCAAATTGTTAGCAAAAAGTCACCACCTGAAAACATTTGCGTCTCACTGTTTAACTAGTTCCTTTATTGTCCGGGCCATCAACAAGGTAATCAATACGGTAATCAATCCTTTTTTCAATGCTAATTAAGATTCCTGGTATTACTGACTTAAATTCAAAATGTGATTAAAGTCTGCACAGCATCTCAGTAAGAATCACAGTATTTTGTATTACACCATTTTGCCAGGCCAAATAGTTTTTATTCAATCAGTCTGCCCTACAGTATGAGCTACTTACTGTTACAGAGTATTTCTTGCTCTGTTATTTCTTAAGAGACAGCCTACCCCAAGACCTTAAACAGAGTGAACTCACATTCCAATCTCCAGCATGTAAAGAGTCATCAAAACAGACAGACAAAAGCACAAAAAAAAAAAAAAGGTAAGCTCAAGAAAAAGAAGCAGCACACATCATGAATCAGGATTAATGCATAAAGGATCGACATGGGCACTCTGAAAGAGTGACATGGTAATAGACAGAGATAAATATGAGGGATGTGGACAGAAATGAAGAGTATGTCATAGTCCCCGGCATGCCATCCACAACAGAAAGAAAGCAAGCCGAGAGGAAAAGGCACTGTCAGTGATGGGCAAAAGGAGGAAGGAATCGTGGGAGGTGGGGAGTAAAGGAGCAGCAACAGAACTGAGACAGAAGGGGAGGATGAGGCAGTAACAGTGGAAGGGAGGGGAGCATAGTGAGGCTAGCGCGGTATGTCGTAAACAGGTAAGACCCCATTATCAGATACTGTCAGTGATGCATTACACGTCAAAAGGGAAAGCGCTAGTATCCCAGTTATGGGATTAAAATGTCCTCCTATTCCTCACTTTGCATTTCTCAGATTCTCTCCTTGAGCACCTCCAAATCTTTTCCTGTCCCAAATGGGGCTAAACTACACATTTGAGACTTTTTCACCACATCCTAATTGAAGTGTTTATTTAAAATGCAGGATTTTGCTCACAAGAAGACACCAAGGTCCTGGGAAATTCTTTATTTGAAAGCAGTAAAGGAACCCCCTGCTGTGTGCTTGCGATGGAGAGGGTTCATGCACACTGACCTAGGCTTTCTAGCAAAGCCTGCACTAAAGTCTTCGGGGATGCCTTTCTCTGTCAACCACAGTAGTTGAAAATAATTTATGCATCTCACATCTCACAATCTTGACCGCGTGATGACAACTGTCTCATTCATTCAACTCGTGCCGCTTAATCTAAAAACATCTAGAGATGTTTCAACATCCCAAAGCACTTAAAATAATCTCTCAGCTGCCCACCATCAGTGCTTGAATTTTTTTTTCCTCCCCTCATCTTTTTTTAATTCAGCAGCTACACGTGTGACAGAACATGTGCGCCTCCACCTACACACTCAATTTCAATAGTCTACTTAATATTATAAATGCGACACAGCTTCCAGATCAGCTCAGCCTTGGCATTCACAGGCACTGACGAGGGAGGGCTGATAGCATGAGATGTTCAACCGATATATCAGAGTTTGGGTTTTGTTTGTTTTTTTACGCAGCTGCTGCAGCCGCCAAAGCAAGAAGGACAAAGCAGCTCAAATGATGCCGTGGAAGGAAAGCATCTCCAGCGGTGCTGCTGTGTTGTTCGAGTTGAAAATTAGACCCATCCCAGTCACCCAGCGAACAGAAATGTCATTTCTTTGATGTGTCCATTAAGGAGTTGTCAGTGAAGGAAGCAGAGTGTTTCTGTGTGTGTGTGTGTGTGTGTGTGTGTGTGTGTGTGTGTGTGTGTGTG